AAAATAACATTCATCCATTCATTAACTTTATTAATTGCTCATTATTTAGCAGACACTCACTCATCTATGCATTGGGCATATATCTGTGAATAAAACAAGGAAAACTCCTTGTCTCCATTGAGATAAGAAGTTCTTTCTACTTGGGAAACAGACAATGACAGAAAACATAAAATATATGTTAGAAGTGCAAAGGGGGAAAAACAGAGCAGGCAGCCGTGTAGGAAGTAACTGCGATGTGCGGAAGGACTGAAATTTTAGATAGGGTAGTCAGAAAAGGCCTCACTGAGAAAAATGAAATTGGAATAAAAATGAAGTGAGGGAAGGAACAATCTGGAAAGCGGATGGAAGAAAATTCCTGGGAGACGGAATAGCATGTGCAAAGGCCTAGAGCTGTAGTGTGCCTGGCATATCCCACGAGCAGCAAGGAGGCCACAGTGGCTGAGGTGGAGTGAGTGAGAGAGGGAGGTAGTAGAGGATAAGAACAGCCAGATATTTAGGGATTAGATCATGTAGGTCTTTGTGGGTCATAATGAGGCTTTTGAAATGGGAAGCAATTGGAGGATTTGGAGCAGAGGAGAGACATGATCTGGATTGATCAACTCTTTGAAAATTCACTCTGCTGTATAGAGAACAGACTGTAGGGTAGCAAGGGAAGAGGCAGCAAGACCAATTTAGAGGCTTCAACAATGATTTTAGTAAGAGACGATGAGTCACAGCAGAGTCATAGCAGCAGAGGTGATGACCAGGGGCTTTATTCTGGTCTCCTTTTGAGTGGAACGCCAATGAGACTTGCTGTTGGATTAGATGTACGTTATGACATCAGAGTTTTCACTCTAAGCAAATGGAAGGGCGGAGTTGCTATCACTTGAGACGGGAAAGACTGCTGGAAGATCAGGTCTCTGTGTGTGTGTGTGTGTGTGTGTGTGTGTGTGTGTGTGTGTGTGTACACATAGATATTTGAACCTCAAATTTGAAACTGTTAGGCTTAAGATACTTCTCAGGCATCTAAGTGCAGAAATGAGTTGTAGGAGAGATCTGAGATGGAGATGCTTTATTCATAGGTCATCAGCTTATAATGATATTTCCCTCTAGTTTATTCCTTTTACCCTTCTTTAGCTCTTGAACAGGGTGAATTAGTTTAGTAACTATTTGCTATTTTGGCTGTGTAATCTCATATCATGGTGGCTTGAGCATGTGTCATAATTGTGTCTATGTACCATGGATAAACACCAAGCTTATCTGAGCTTCTCCTATTTCATAGCCAACCTGCTCCTGTCACAGACGTCTGCTGTTATGCCCATGGTCATCTGAATATGCTCACTGGTTGTAAGGTCTTATGTCATGGATGTTTCTCCATGTGTTGTACTTATATGAGCATACACCATACTTGTCTACTTTTACACTGGGGCCTGGCTTCTTTGTACTAACTGTAACACTAGTATTAGGTTTTACATTCTGCTCATGCAGCACAGTTGATTGAATATTCATGGCATTGTATGCTGATCGTTTGCTATAATTTTCAGTCCATCCACCATGCATGTGTCTACTACATTTGTTCATATGCTGCAGATAGCTGTTTATTTACCATGGTTGCCGTTACTTAAAATATACTAACTCTTCATTGCCACCACTTGCATCTATATCTTACCTCTCTGCTCCGGTGAAAAAATTTTGAGAATGTCTGCCTACACTTGGACAATGGCCTTCTGTTCCTACATCATGTCACTAAATTCCTGTATCATCATTCTAATGATACACACATTGTGTGCACACATCATGATTAAAGATTAATATACCAAATACATCTTCATATGCATCATGGTTATCTAAGCTTGTACCATACTTGTCTCCAGCTACATGGGTACTTTGTCATGTTCGAAGGCTCTTTGTTCAAGTGGTATGATTTTCAGTTTATGCATATGGTCACTTGAGAATTCACCAAATTTATCATAAGAAGGAGTTTGGGTGTCTGCTTTCCTATAGTCCTTGTTTATACTGGTTTGATGGTCATCTGAGCATGTACCATGGATGTAGGTTCATTTAATATTAATATCTGCTAATGTGCCACATTTCTGTGTGTGTGTATATATATATATATGTATACAGCAGGGTTGAGTCCTGTTTTGTAGATATTTGCTAACTTGCTAAGGCTACCTGTTCCAGTGGCATCTTTTTAATTAAAAAACATAATTATGTTAAAAATAACAAAAATTAACCATTTTTAACTCTATAGTTTAGTACTGTTAAATATATTCACATTGTTGTGCAACAGTCCAGTATCATGGTTTTGATCTTGTACAATGTCTTAATGGAGTGTGTACTAAGGCCCTCTTCTCTTAACCAGTGAATATTAGGCTTGTGTGCTTTAGTTTTCTAACATAGGCCATGGCCAAACGGTTTAATACCATAAATGTCGTCACATGCATTATAATAATGATGTTTGCTAACAAAGTATCATGGTAGTTACATGGCATATATTATTTCCAAACTCTTCTATATAGGAAGGCTGTCTTCTCATGCATAGTGGCTATTTGAACATGTACCTTAGTCATGAGTTCCTGTAACATTGCTGCCTTCTTATGCATCATACTATATGTCATAGTTTTCCCCTTCTAAATTATGGATGTTTTCTTCTGTGTCATTGGCAGCTATTCTTAGTCTGAAGGTTTGCTGCTTGTTTAGCATGATCATTTGAACATAACCCATAGTTACATACAAGAATACCATAGATAAATATACACTGTGGGCCCCTTTGTTCATACAGTGTGGGCATCTTCTATACCCAGAATTGTTGGTCATGCACTCATGTTTTCTGAGCATCCATTATGGTTCTCATGTTATATGGATTATTTATGCAATTTGAATTTCATATCCTATACCAAGTCGCTTTGTTCCTATACGTAATTGTTCATCATGTATTAATCTTTGTCATACAATATCAGGGTCTGCTAAGGCACTGTGGCTGCTTGAGCACACATGGTAACTTCCCATTACATGGATGTTTCTCATGCCCCAGAGTTGTCTTACTCATATACTATGGTTTTCTAAACTATACTATTTCTGTTCATTTGATGTTCAGTGACCAACAATGCTTGTTTGTGAATGTTACAGTACATATATTAGATTGACCACAAAAAATTACTATTTTTGTGAAACAATAATTGTGGCATATTGACAATTTTATGTGATACAACTTAGTAACATGACTATTTTTATCTATAATGTGGACATTTCCTCATGTCAAAGGAAGGAAACTCATGTCAAAATTCATCTTCTCCAGTATCATAGTTTTCTATGCCTGTCCAAGATTGTGTTGGGGGACCCCTAACTGGTATATTAAATTAAAAATATGCAGATTATGATTTGCTGAATGAGGAGGCCCATGAGGGAGTAGGGAGCTCAGCATGCGAGCTCTCACTTTGGAGAAGTGAAAAAAAGTCTGGGGTTGTTTTGATTAAAAGTGCAATTTCAAAATCGTCACACAAAGGAAGTAAAATCACAGATCGATTACTTACACATCTCAGAACAGCTGGGAGTAGGATAGTCCTCCATCCCAGGTCATGAGTGAGCAGGAGATAGACAGCAGGGAAGCAAGCCCCAGTTATTTATAAGATGGTTCGGGTGGCGGTCACTGACATTTTGGCGGGCTCAACTTTATGTGGTTATTTTAAAACGTGCCCCAGGAAAAGCAAAGCAGGAACTTGTGGTAGGAATTCTAAGGTTGGGTCCTTATCTAAATGTCCAGACTCCGGGTGTGAGGAGGGTTGTCACACTATAAAATGCCTAGGCAGCAAAGTCAAGATAGCTGTTTTCTCATCAGACATATTCAAGAAGACAATCTAGTATACACTTGAGAGGCTGCTTTTTGAGAGGTGGGATCAATTTAGAAAGACTTGTTGTTCATCTTCTCATCAACCAGACTAGCTCTCCAGCGTGTATCTGTTTTACAGATTCGTTTCTTGCATAAACTTTCCTCGGGAAAATGTTTCATATTCTTCTATTCCCTCTGGAAGTTAAACCACTGATGTGACTGAAAAGAGTACGGTGTTTAGTTAGAGTTAGGTTTACTTCAAGTGGCCACTGTCTCAGATTCAAAGAAGCCATAAGGTTTAGAGACAGCAAGTAGCTGCCACTTTACACTGTTTTCTTAATTCCATGTCTTGAGTAAACCTCCATCAGCGCAGAGTTCATAAAACAGCCTTGCATATAGGCAACTCTAAATCACATAATTCTATTATCAATATAATTCACTGACGTCTTAGGGATTTCTGTCCTAGGAGGCTGGACTTGGATTTCTTCTTTATGTTGTGACCCCTGTATGGCCCTGGCTTTCCCCTCAAGTATCTCTTTATGGGGAAACATGGCATTCCTATTCAAGAGCTGTGGTGTCTCATCACTTACAATGTTATCAACCTGATTCAGAGGAAACAGTTCATCCACTCCATCCAGGCCCTTTGACCTTTCAGAATATTGCATAACTGTATCAAGATGACACCAATCCCAAAAATGCTATAGAGACTCTAGGTCTTAATATTTTAGGATTTCCTACAATTTTACAGTTAACTATGGCCAAGGCATTTGTGGTAGTAAAGATTAAATGTGACTGGGGGAAAATAAAATGAAGATATGAGAGATTATTTTAAGCTCTTGGATCATAAAAGAAACTGAAGCTGAGAGAAATTCTGCGATTCACTTGGTCATAAGAAGTCAGAGAAAAAGAACTGTAACCTAAGAATCCCAATTACTGATTTAGAGCTCTACCATTTCTTGGATGGGGTCTGGTATATTTGAGAGAGGGGGTATGTTGGGAGTAAATTTTGGCAGGATTCGTGAACTGGGGAAAGGAGACTGTCAAAGTAGGCATTTGGTAACTGGATACTAGTGAAGTTAAATGGCTCTAACAGAGTTGAGTAAAATATATTTTTTAAACCTCTTCTTCCTCCTTCCCTTTGTCTTCTACTCCTTTTCCCTTCCTCTTTTCCTGAACATGGATACCACAGGTTTCTCCAGGTTGGTGCCTAAGAAGATGATAATCACACAAATGAATCGCTGCTTCATGACCAGCCTTGGACTTCTCTTCTTGATTAATATTCTCCCTGAAACAACTGGTCAAGGGGAATCAAGACGACAAGAACCTGGTGACTTTGTGAAACAGGATATTGGCGGGTAAGAATCCTTAACTCCAAGAACAAGAGAAGACTATGATAAATTCTTGCCTTAAATCAAAACTTTTTTCCCCAGATGAATTCAAGTACCCTGGACACTGATATTTAGACACTGCATTGTATTTGGAAAAAAACGTCATCAGTTCAGGCTCTCAAGGTTGAAAGAGATCTCAAAGGTCTTGGGCAACTCCCTAGTCCAGGCTTGAATTGCCTGTATAACATCTTAAAAGCAGTTCAGCACAGCCATTTGCTCTCAGTTTTTGTTTTTCTCTCTTAGATCTTCAATCTGTCCCTTTTTATTGGCTCTGTCTGATTAGCATGTGTGATCAAGAATCTTCCATCTGAAATTAAAAAATCTTCCATCCAGATAGTGCCTCAAAACTTCTTTCTTTTTTACAGTCATACTGCTTGAAGAAACAGTGTTCTTCATTGTCTCTACTTACTCTCCTCTCATTCATTCCTCTACTACTGTCCTCCTCCCATCCTGGAGACTCTAAGGCAGCTTCTGCGACCAAAATGGCCAATGTTGGCTCTGTTGCAAAAATGAACACTTGTTTGTTCTCATGTTACTCAATTTCTTTAGTAGCATGCAGCAACACTCAATATTGTTCACTTTTCCCTCTCTCAACTCCTTTTTATTATGAGATAAAACATTATATATGTAAGCATACATAAAATATAAATATATAGTTTAAGAATAAACTTTTTGTTTGACTTCAGAGATACCACACTTCCCTGGTTCTTAGATTAGGTTCTCTAGAAACACGACTTGAGACAAAAAATTTTTTGAGAGTGCCTGAGAAACTTGTAAGGAAGTAAGGGAAGCAAGATAGTGAAGGTGAAGAAGTAAAGCAAAGGTGTGATTTCCCTTGAACTGTAGTCTCCATTTGATCCCATGGGGAGATAGGGCATGAATAGCACCACAGATTTGGCCCACCTTGAGGCAAGGGGCCTGGGGTTCTGGGGTCTCCTATCAGTCAGTCATTGCCTGTGGAATGACGAGGGGAAGGTATATTCAAAGTCTCATCATGTCCATGTCCATCTCCCTGCTCCACACTAGGAACAACAACAAAATAATAAATCAACAAACGTAACATGCTCCTCTAACATTTGTCATCGTTTCAGTCAGTGGCACCACTATGCATCCTGTTGCCCAAGTCAGAAACTTGGAATCATTTTTGCTAATTTTCCACCCTTCATTTTCCAGATTGAATCAATCGCCAAGATCTGTCATTTCTACCTCCCATGTCCCTTGCTTCATCTACTTTTTCCCAACTTTCCTGCTACCACCCTAGTTTAATGTAATGTTGTTTTCCACTTGGACTACTGCAAGAGTCTCTGATTGGTCTTTCTCAAGTCTTGCTCCCATCTGAACTAACCTCTGCTTTGTAGCCAGTATTTCTTTTACAATGCATATTGAGTCATATCTGTCCTGTTTTGAGTCATTTTATAGCTTCCTATTGTGCTTAGACTAAAGCTCAAACTTTTTACCATGGTTTTGTAAGGACCATTATGAAACAACCTCTACCCATCTTGCCAGCCTTATTTCATAGTCCTTCTGTCAACAAATTTTATGTTCTTTAACTATATTGAACTTCTTTTGACTTTAAAATCCCATCTCTTTCAGGGAATATCATTATGAGAAATAACCCCCTTAGCCCTGAAATATTTCAGGATTATATGGAATATTTTGTTTTTTGGTAGTGGCTTTTGTTGTTGTTGTTTTACATTTGGTTACTGTCTACTATTTTGGTAGCATTAAGACTTGTTCCTGATTATTTTGCAGGGTTGATCATCTTAACTATGCTCTAAGTCTTTCTATTTATCAGCATTTTCAAAAGTAATCTCTGGGTCTGACGGCTACAGAACTGGGCTAATATGTCCTTAGAAATTTGATGCATGAGACCCTTTTTGTTCTTTATCCTAATCTGGAAAAACAATCTAAATTTGTTTTATTTACTATTCATGTATCTGATTTCATTGGACCATGATAGATGTTCTAAATAAGATGGAAGTTCCAAACAAAAGAACCCTACCACTTCAAGTGTTAATGTCTTTTAAATTTTAACTCTGAGAATAAAGTTCTCTAAGAATGTATTGCATTTTTTTCTTATAATCCCAAACAAGGATTTTGAACAGAATAGTTCCTTTTCTTGATGACTTATGATCATCATAAAGAACATTCATTATGTTCATTCTGTATCTGCTTTTTTCTTTCTGTGTCTCCATCCTCAGTGTTAGTTGTCATTTCTCTTGTTTACATTGGTTTATTTACATCCTGTTGGTTCTTGGAAAACCAGACAGCCAAGCCTTTTAGTCCTTGTACTCAGAAGGAAGCCAAGAAATTCTGCTTGAAAAAGGAGAGAGAAGTGCTTGGATTTAATACAGGGGCACAGAAAAGCTTTTTGGGGGGTTTACTTTCTTCTAAGTCCAATGCAATTTATATTTTCAAAGGATGAGACTGCCAGAAGCCTGGCTGTGAATATTAAGGTTAGCGCTGTCTTTGTATTTGCTAGAAATAAAGGAACCAGAAAATAGTCTGAACAGGTAGGGCACATGTTGAGTGGTGTGTCTCAAGCCAGATTTGGAAAGTCCAGTCCCTTCCATGTACGTACCATCTCTATTAAAGAATCAATACATTAACCCTTTGACCATTCAATCATCACCTTAAAATTTCAGAATCAGATGTGGGACCCGACAGAGTGCCAGTCCTAAGCTCCAAACCTGGCTGAGAATTCCCCCTGAATTATGCCTGATGACTGACCTGTACCAGTTGAATCCCCCCAGTGATGAACGGCACTGTGACCACAGGGTACAGCTCCTGGGTTTGGAAAGTGCTTCCTATGTTGAGCAGAAATTCACCTTCCTGTAATGCCTACCAATTATAGGCCCCTATAGCACTTACTTCCTTCTTCACATAACAGCTCTCAGAGCTGCTCCTGACTTGCTTGTCTGCAGGTTAATTCAGTACTTCCAGCTGTTCTTACATGATATGGTTTTCCAGACATTGCTTCAAACTGTATGCACTCCTTTGCTCTCTGATGAGATTATTGGAAACTCAGCTCAAGATTCCATTCTTATTTATAGTTTTCATTTTCCATCATGTTAGCTTAAAATTTATATTTAAATAACTTTTACTGTGTACCAAGCACTATTCTAAGTATTTCACATGTTAATTCATATACTCCTTATAACAAACCATCTAGCTAGGTGCTGCATTATTCCTGTTTTACAGGTAAAATATGGAGGCACAGAGAGATCAAGTTACTTGCCAAAGCTCACACAGCTAAAAAGTGGCAGAACCAGGGCTGAAATTCAGACAGTCTGGCTCAAGTGTGTTACTTTTCATGCATTCAGTCACTTTTAAGTAAGAATTAGGTACATGCCCCTTTTATGTGTGTGAACATCTACTCCTGTATGGTAATCCCTCAACCTTAATATCTCAGCCACGTGACTGGGTAGCCTATGCTAAAATGGGGCAAGTGAAATTTTCTTACAGGGCCTAAAGGGATAAGAAATATTTTTTTTCCTTTTGAAGTACAAATGTAGAATTTGTGACACAGGTCAGAGCTGCATATTTGAAACGAGGATCACTAATACTCGGTAGGTAATGCTTTGACTTTGTATTGCAGCAGGTCAGGAGGCAAGGTCGGGTCAGTATTATTAATGCTAAACATGATTTCTTGGTTAAGGAGATGACTGTCAGCATTCTCCATTGTAAGGATAACAGCACCAGGATTGAGAGATCTGAGCTGGTGGCTAGCTTATTGCTTTGATCATGGCCATGGGTGTGGTGTAGATAGTAAATAACAGTAGGGAAGAGAATATTCCTAGTGCAGGATTTTCCCCTTCTTTTGTGTTATAATTCTGTTCTCCACACAGGCAGTGTAATAAATGGTCCTCAGGCTGACCTGTGAAAGTCCACTTAGTCAGACACGTCCTGAAATAGTGCCATGCATTGGCAATATGGTTACAACCTTTCAAATAAATTATGAGAAATAAAAACTTGGGTAAGCCTTGGCTGGGAAACTAGCTGCCATTTATGGCATTGTTTCTGAGGAGGAATGTATCTTTAATTCTTTACAAACCTTGGAACACAACCATTTTAAGTTGAGACATGTCTCCTTCTGTTCATATATGGAATCATATCTCTAAGATCTAGTACCTTGTTATCTAATCATTCACAACATAAACTAGTCAAATTTTCCTGTGTGTTTCTGTGAAGCAGTGGATTTCAGTTACTAAGAAGGCATGAGGACTTGGTTTTTATTTTACCATGTCTCAGCAAATAGTGTGAACAGGTGGGGCATGTACTGAGTGGGTATCTCTCAAGCCAATACATCTCTCATTTCATTACCAGTCTATGGAAGCTATTTAAGAAAAGAACAGCTATCATTTTGAGAGGGACTGCATATATTTTAGCCAAAAATAAGTCAATTTTTTTCTTTAACTGGCTTCTCTAAAGATATTACAATGTATTATTGAATTCCAGGTGTTTCTCATTCCCTTCCCAGTATATAATTGGCATCCCTAGTGCTGAATCTTTAGCTAGACTTTTCCGCTTAGGGGAGTGGCTGGGCTCGGAAAATTAAAAACATGGGGGAGTATTGGGAGATGGTGAGTGACCTGCTTTGGCTATGATTTCTGGTAAGAAAGAGAAGTAGTGGAATTTGCAGCTGTAAAAGTATATTGGGTGTCTTGCCAATGGGTTTCAGCCCTGAGCAAGTTCACTATGGATTCAATGTGACCAAAGAAAATGACAGCAAAAGTTTTTTTGGGTGAAAGGGTTTATTACCCGGCTTGTTCTCTGGTGGTAGGTCGAGCACTAGTGTCTCTACCTCTGCCCAGAGCACTGGGCCAAGCTCTCTATATAGGACAATAATAGCTTATTGCCTAAAGGTGTGGGAGCGGTAGCCTAACAACAGGCCAGTTACATCATCAGGTGGTTTAAGTTCAGTGAGGATCCTGGCTATAGGAACCCCAACTTCCCACATGGGAATA